GCCAGCCAGCCGGAGGACTCTGGAGGACTGTGATAAAGCCTTCTTCCCCCATTACACCAGGCTAAAAGGCAGCTGAGCAGGGAGTTGGGGTGTGGCCAGGAGTGGCTGGCCTTAAAAGTCACCCCACCACCACCACCCCAGGAACACCTACTAGCCAGCCAGCCAGCCAGCTGGAGGACTCTGGAGAACTGTGATAAAGCCTTCTTCCCCCATTACACTGGGTAAAAGGCAGCTGAGCAGGGAGTCGGGTGTGGCCAGGAGTGGCTGGCCTTAAAAGTCACTCCATCACCCCCACCCCAGGAACACCTACCAGTCAGCCAGCCAGCCGGAGGACTCTGGAGAACTGTGGTAAAGCCTTCTTTGCTGGGATTGAGCTGGCTGCAGCGGCAGGGGCTGAGTCTTTGCCAACTCTCTTGGTGGATTAGGACTGCTGAGAGGCCGGGAGAAGCCTCTTTAACTCCGCCTCCCCTCTCACCATCAGTAGAGGCCCAGGTGCCGAGGGTGCGGCTGGGCGAAGCCTCTTTAATCTACCCTCCTTTACTACTGGTAGCATAGGTGGCAACAGCATATTGTCCTGCCCTAATCCCCCAGGGGTAGCTACACAGCCCAGCGTTGAGACTTAATATCAAAAGCCTATTAAGATCAGGAGGGGATATGGGGAGGTGCTGGTGGGAGCAGCACCTTCCGGAACCTGGGTTCCCAGTCAGAAGGGGGGTTCTGGTGAAAGCGGCTCCTCCACAGACTGGGTGGCCAGATGAACCCTGAATATAGGTCGTTGGGACAATCTGTGTAGGCTAGTGAGGGGAATAGGGGACATGCTGGTGAGAGTGGCATTTTTCTTACAGGCAATTGTAAATGCCAGTATTGGGAGGGGAGGGAGGGAGACGCCGGTGAGAGCGGCACTCTTTTAGAGGCTAGACTGTCAATCGGCCTTTAAGTGATAGTTCCCAGAGTATTATGATTAAGAGCAGTGCTGGGAAGGCAGAAGGGGAAGTGTGGGGAGAATGATATCTTCTAGAAGTTAGTTTGTTGGGAAGAGATTAGTGACATGGCTGCTGGTTGTGTTCAGTCTATTACAGTAGTGAGGGGCAAGGGGAGATATGGTGTTAAGAGGGTGGGGATGAAACAAAAATGAAGACGGGATCAATATTTGAAATCTATCCCATCTTCCACTCACTGTTAGCCTGAAAGAACCGGGGGTCATCCCAACCATACCACAGACACTTACCTTGCTCCTCTGCAATGCCAGGTTAGTGAGGAACAAATCTCATAGCATCTATGATTTGTTGGAAGGGGAGAATGCTGACCTGGCTTGTTTTACAGAAACCTGGCTGGGGGAGGATAATAGTGTAACCTGGGTAAAGGCTCTCCCAGCTGGCTATACTGTTAAGGAGCAGGTTAGGGAAAATGGGCGAGGGGGGGAGTGGCCTTGGTCCATAAAAATACTATCACATTGACCAGGAGACCTATCTGGAAAATGATTCACATCGAGTGTATTTACCTGACCTTGAAATCCAGGGACAGTCTGGGGATTCTGTTGGTTTACTGTCCATCCCGTTACCTAACAGACTCCCTGACTGTACTGACACAGCTGGTCTCGGAGCTGGTGTTGGAGTACCCAGGCTTCTTTTTCTGGGGGACCTCAACATCCCCTTTGAGTCCAACTCGTTAGATCTAAAAGTTGCAGCTCAGGAGCTCATGGCTTCCATGACAGCCATGGGCCTGTCCCAATTAGTTTCAGGTC